TGGGCAGACCGTAACCTCAGTCTATGATAACACAATGTGGAGCTGGAGGAAATCAGCAGGCCAGGCAGTATCAGAGGAGCAGGAAAGTTGACGTTTCGGGTCAGGACCCTTCTTCAGAAATGGGGGATGGGGGAAGGGAGCTCAGAAATAAATAGAGGAGGGGTGAGCCTGGGGAAGGTAAGTAGGATGGTGATAGGTGAGCGCAGGCAGGGAGTAGTGGGGATTGGTCAGTGAGGTGGGAGGAGCGAATAAGTGGGAGGGAAGATGGACTGGTTGTGTCAGGTCAAGGAGGTGGGGATGAGAGGGAGGATTGGCCATGGGATGAGGCCGGGGTGGGGAGATTTTGAAACTGGTGAAATCCACATTTAGGCCACTTGGACTGTAGGCCCCCAAGGTGGAATATGAGGTGCTGCACCTCCAATTTCCAGGTGGCGTCATTGTGACACTGGAGGAGGCCCAGGATGGACATGTCACCCAGGGAGTGGGAGGGGGAGTTGAAATGGTTCACGATTGGAAGGTGTTGTCGTTTGTCATGAACCAAGCGTAGGTGCTTTACAAAGCACCCTCCGAGCCTCTACTTGGTCTCACCAACATAGAGGAGGCCACATCAGGATCAGTGGATGCAATAGACCACATTGACGGATGTTCAGGTGAACCTCTGTCTGATATGGAAAGTTTGTTAGTGCCTTGAATGGAGGTGTTGGGGCAGGTGTATCACTTACTGCAGTTGCAGGGAAAGGTTCTTTATTCATTCACAGGATGAGGGTGTCACTGGCTAGACCAGCATTTATTGCCCATCCCTAATTGCCCAGAGGGCAGTTATGAGTCAAGCACATTGCTGTGGGTCTAGAGTCAAATGTGGCAAGTGGAATGTATGAGTTATAGGATGTGCCGATGAAAGTGGACACTCTTGCCAGGCCGACTGAACTTGGAGAATTTCACTTGAGTGAGGGCAATTGAATATCCTCATTCAGGACATCTCCTAAAATGAGGGCCCCAAGTCAACCCATAGCAACCTCAAAACAAAGCCAAGCTTCAACCAAATGGTTGAAATGTTTTTGAGGACCCAGGCCAGCAGGACATTGTAGTTGCTGCTGGTATGCAGACTTGAGACAGTAAAAGAATCTCACTAGACCTAAATTAAATAAGAGAACTCGTAGGCTGGTATCTAGGAGAGTGCATAACCTGGAAAGCCCACCTACATCTGGCTTGAATAGTTAAATTGCTTAGCAACATCCAAATCAAAACCAATAAAAGTAAATGTTTGGTTAAGCGGTCACCCAGTCCCAGTGGAGGTGGATACCGATGTGGCTGTATCGGTGATTGTGGAACCAGTCTTTACTAAAATTCACGCTGGACTCCAACCCTTAGGCTTGCATAAGACCTCAGCCAGGCTGATAATCTATACTGGTGAACACCTATGGATAAGGGTACAACTTTGGTTCAGATCTCTTACAAGAAACTGTTACCACTGATTTTAGTAAAAGGCTCAGGCCTAAGCTTGATGCGGTGAAATTGGTAAAGAAAGATTCAACTTGATTGGCTTAACACTTTTTGATTAGAAAATGGCTGCCTGAGTGCAGTCCTAATTAAATACCCTTGCTTGGGATTGTAGTGTGTCAACAGCTTAGATGATGATAACTTCCCTAAAGGTTACATCTTGATTTAGAGACCATTTCCAATAGAGACCCTGTTTCAATAGCAAATGTAAGGGTGCCATGATAAAGGCCAGGTTACGTATGAATTTTCCACAATAATTCACCAACTCAAGGAAAGACCTGAGCTCTGCTTTAGATGTGGGAGCTGGGGCACCTTTGATTGCCCCTCACTTTATCTTACAATGGGTGAAACCTGGTCTTGTTGACTCTATAATCAAGCAGGTCACTTGGGGTGCCTGAACAGACATTTTTCCCTCCTAAGGTGTACACCCACCTTGGCGAAATGTTTAAGGACTATGTCCAAATTCTCTAAGTGCTCTTTATTGACCTTCCCGGTTATTAGCATGTCATCCAGATAAATGGTGACTTGGGGTAGATCTTGTAAGATGTTCTCCATTGTGCGTTGAAAAATGGCACAGACTGATGATACCCCAAATGGCAGTCTTGTGTATATTCTATATTCTCATCTAAATCATTTCTATAAATAACAAACAAAAATAGACCCTGCACTGATTCCTGTGGAACATCGCTGGTCACAGGCCTCTAGTCTGAAGAATGATCCTCCACCATCACTCTTTTTCCTGCCGTCAAGCCATTTTTATATCCAACTGGCAAGCTCACCCTGAATCCCAAGTGATATAACTATTCTAGTCTACCACGCGAAACCTTGTCAAAGGTTTTACTAAAATCCAAGTGAACAATATCTACCGCTCTGCCCACATCAATCTTCTTGTTTACTTGCTCAAAAAAACTCAAATCTGAGAGACTCTATTTCCATCTCACAAAACCACACTGACTAACCCTAATTATTCCTACCTCTCCAAATCACTTCCAACAACTTAGCCACCACCAAAGTCAGACTCACAGGTCTATAGTTCAAGGCTTCTCCTCACATCCCTTGTTAAACAAAGACACAACATTAGCCACTCTCCAGTCATTCAACAGCATCTGTAGTTATAGATGATACAAATATTTCTGCAAGGGACCCCACAATTTCCTCTAACTTCCCACAAAGTCCTGGGATACACTAGATTAGGTTCCTGAGATTCATCCCCTTTATATTTTCTAAGACTCCAGCACTTCCTCTTCTATAACGTGAATTGTTTTCATATTATCCATTTCCAAGTTCTCTAGCCTCCATTTCTTTCTCCACAGTAAAACACTGATGCAAAATATTCATTTAATATCTCGCGCATCATCTGGTCCTGACAGAAACTGTGTGCTAGTGAGTAGTTCCAGTTAGTTCTGGAACACAATTCTTCAGGACTACAGCCAGGATAATATCAGGGTTCAGAGCCTTAGCTCTATCTCGTGCTTTCAATTGTTTCTTTGTTTTATATTGTCAATTGAATTGGCTGAAGACTGGCATCTGACATACCAGGGACAACAGGAGATGGAGATTGATCATCCACTTGGCTGAAAAAGACAGAAGGTACTTTAGCCTGGTCATCTGCACTGACACGCTGGACTTCTCCCTCATTTAACATGGGGATACTTGTGGAGCCTCCTCCAGTGAGTTGTTTAATTGCCCACTATCATTCATGACTGGATGTGTCAGGCCTGCAGAATTTAGATCCAATTGCTTTGTTGTGGGATTACTTTGCTCAGTCCCATGCTGTTCCCACTGTTTAGTATTCATGCTGTCCTGCATTGTAGCTTCATCAAATTTGGCACCATGTTTTTAGGTATCGTTGGTTCTGCTACTGTACACTCTCCAGCACCCTTCCCTGATCCAAAGTTGATCCTTGGCCTGAAGATATTAGGCGAGGAAGGGTCACGAGATTACAAAATTGCAGTTGAATACATTTCTGCCGATAGATTCTCATGTTGGGAGAGTTGTCTGTTAAATTGATCCCATTTAGCATGGCGATAATGCCAGCGAGACCAGCCCAAGAGCCCCACTATTATGTGGAGACAGAATTTCATCCCCACAAAGACTGTACAGTGGTCACTCATTGATTATGGATGCATCTGTGATAAGTAAATAAAGGAGGATAAGTTCAAGCATGTTTCTCTCTTGTTGGCTCCCTCAGCACTTACCCTAGACTCAGACTAGCAGCATTGACCTCTTGTCCAGAAGAACTGGAGTAGGCCATTCAGCCCCTTTAGCCTGTTCCACCATTTAATACCATCATGGCTGATCGAACACTCCAACATGTAATCATCAGGAAGATTCCTAGCCCACATTTCACCTGATGTCATGGGTATAGAGTCACCAAAGTTAATGACCCTCAGGTTGACTCCCTCCTGAATGTTGTGCTGCCCCCACTGCTGGCTCTGTCCTGGCAGTGGGACAGGCCATACCCAGGAATGGAGGAGGAGAAGGCTGGGACACTATCAGATACTCTCTCCTGAACTGACCTAATTCGAATATAAAGGTAATGCTTTCATGTTCTGGATTCCTTGCTGGACGGAAGGGTTCCTATTTGTGTTATGAACTAGTCCAATTATTTTAAACATGGTAATTTATTTTAGAAACAATTTATGCTAAACTCTTGCTTCCCTCACGTCTTGTGGGAGATGCAGTTGGCTGACTTCCTGTTGACTCTCAACTCTTCCTTTCCTCCCATGAGATAATAGGTTGTGATCGTCAGAAAGAAAGCTGAAGAACTCAAGTCTACTGCGCCACCAACTTTTAATTGGTACAGATCAGGGATCCCAAAGGAAGTCCAATCATTTCCCCCTGCTTGTTTAAAAAAATTAGTAAATCTGCGTATTATCACAAAACATCACAAAAGCCAGAATTAACTTTTTTCAAAAAAAAAATTCAAGTACAGTAAAATACCACAATTGCTTGAAAGCTGTGATAAAAACAAAGTTGTTGGGAAACAATCCGAAAATCTGATCATTGGCCTGGAACTTCAACCCTTCTTTGCTCTCTCCACATGTCTGAACTGACCTGCTGAGTGTTTCCAGCATTGTTTTTATTTCCAAAGTTCAGTGGGTGAGTTTAAGCAGAATATGAGAGAAGGAATGTCCAGTACAGGGTGAAATAAAGTTCAGACATCTAATGAAGAAATGTTTACTTAAAGGGGGACCATGAGCTGTTTAGGAAACAGCCTTGAAAGGATGAAAACATTTTTTTACACAGTAATAATGTTGCAAAGGAAACAGCATTCTGGAAACTGAATGTAGCTTATTTTCATTGCATGTGACATTCTTTGCAGAAAAGCTGAAGAAGAGCAAAGCTGCACCAAAACTTATAGCAACACAGCCGTGTCACTTTTCACTTCAACTATGGAACGCTGTAGTATTTGAGTAATCAATCCCACAAACCTGACCAAAGTCAGAAGTGTGCACCGGCAATAATTTGATTAGAAAAACAACACATTGATCAGATAATTGTAATCCACACAGATCCCACACAGCTTTATTGTTCTCTACTTGAGAGACAGTTACAACAAAAAATATCCCTTTTCCAGTGCTCAGCATGAAAGTTTTACAGTACAACTTGAAACATTTATTCCAAAACAAACACTAGATATAAAACTGATACAAAGCCAGTTGGTCCATAAAGGGGCGGACCAGGTTATCAGTCGCAAAATAGAAAACCAGGCCGAAGGTGATGGAGATGGGCAGTGCTGGCAGAGCTTTCTTGAAGATAGCAAGCAGCAGCAGAGTAAGGCACAAACCCTGAAAATGTAAAGATAAGGCCAATTACTCAATCTGCATCATTTTCTATCAAGCCCCTTCCCTTCAGTGCACATGCTGGAAAAGGAGAGCATATTCAAACCCATACAGGTCAGCACAAAGCAATAGGTTCAACCTTGTAATTGGCAAAGGTGATGTTTATATCAGGGATGGGGGTGGGGTGTGGTGAAAAGAAAGAATGTCTATTTCTCACTACAACAGCCCTGACAGTGAGATTGCAGAGAGACCAGTGGGAGGATAAATAGAGGGGAGTGATTGTGTTCAACATGTGCTTTTACATGAGGCATTCAAGTTGTTGGCCAGGAGTGAGGGCAGATAGAGGATGAGAGGAGAATGATGAAAGAGAGAGGGTGCTTGATGCCTGTTAGGTGAATTCTTCAAGCAAAAACCACAATAGGTTGTGAGGGAAAGTGAAGAGGAAGATAGAAATTAGGATGCAGGGAGAATAGAATGGCCATCAACATGACAGAATTACACTATTTTGTGGCATCCTGTTGTCAGCCTATGGGATCTCCAATCTTCTCTTTAAAATGTGTTTTGCCAGGAGGGCATGAAATCCACCAATTTAGTTAAAGAACCCCAGCCCTGTGCACGTAGTTGAAACAGAACTTACAAACGCTTGTACTTACGAATGCTATCTTATACAGGGGAATAATTTTCAAGATCTGACATATGACCATTTACTGTAATTACGAACGGCTACTTTATATTGTTTTGCATTGTGTTCCATCTTACATACAAATTGACTTATGAATGGACTCAACGATGTTTGCAACCTGGAGATCCCCTGTGTTTAGCGTACAAGCTGTTTGCAATTGCATCCCACAGTTAAGATACTTCTTAAAGAGGGCTGTGTCGTGTCTTTGTTAATACATCACCAAATTCACGAAGTACAACAATGAACAAACTACAACTGTCATATTAATCTGGCTCACCCAGTGTGCAAAGTTTGGTTTCCATGGCGATTAACAGGGCGTTTTGATTTGGCTTTATATGGAAGTATAAGGTCTCCAACACTGCATCTCAGAGGGATCAGTGTGGATAAAGGAGGTTCCTATTAGCCAGGACACCTACTCTAGTGACCATTACTAGTTTGGGCTGAGGGAAGGGCTGAACCAGATTCAATGAACCAGCCCTCAGAGCTCAAACTGCTGACCGACACAAACTGAGTGTTAGACAAGGCACCATAAACCTGAACCCCAACCAGCCTGTAATAATCTGTAATGTCACATGCAGATACTTTTCAACATTTGATAAGCACTTTGGGCACTCTCACTTTGCTGCAGTACTATAAGTTGAATAAATTTTCCCCAGGCTGTCCTGGGGCAAATGCATACTCACAATTAATATTGCCACGAAGCAGGCCAGAGTCGTATTCCAGTCTCCACTTGCTGCTGCTGATGCTTTTCCAACAAGGACACTGTAGAATATGAAGTCACCTAAACCAAGTTTCACACCCCCTAGCAAGAAAAGCGAAGTATAATTTGACCATGAGGAGTGAGAGAATGGGTCCTACAATGAGCCAGTATTTTAAATGCCTGCTTTTGGCTCTCTAGTTTCCACACAGAAGGCCCACTCAGTCTAGCTTGGCGGTATGCTGCTCAGGCAGCACGGTGGCTCAGTGGTTAGAACTGCTGCCTCACAGCGCCAGGGTCCGGAATTTGATTCCGGCCTTGGACAGTCGCCTTGAGTGACTCTCTGTAAGGAGTTTTCACATTCTTCTCGTGTCTGCGTGGGTTTCCTCTGGGCGCTCCAGTTTCCTCCCAGAGTGCAAAGGTGTACAGGTTAGGTGGTTTGGCCAAACTAATTGCCAGTGTCCAGGGATGTGTAGGCTAGGTGGATTTGCTATGAGAAATTCAGGGTAACAGGGATACGGTAGGCGGATGGGTTTGGGTGGGATGCTCTTCAGAGGGTTGTTGTGGACTGGATGGCCTGCTTCCACACTGTAGGGATTCTATGTATATTAATGGGCCCAACATTGTGTGATTTATATTCAGTGGCAATATACAGCACACAAATAGGACATTCGCTGTACTTCGTGATGGAACAATTTCATTTATTAAAATCTCATTTGTGAGACATTGGTGTCACTTATTGCCTGTCCCTAGTTGTCCTTGAGAAGGCGGTCATGAGTTGCCTCCTTGATCTGCTGCAGTCCAGCTGCTGTGGGTTGACCTATAATGCCATTAGGAAGGAAAGATCAGAATTTTGACCCAGAAATACTGAAGGAAAGGCAATATATTTCCAAGTGAGGTGGTGAGTGGCTTGGAAGGTGCTGTCTAAAGTGGCTTGGTGAATTTCTGCACTGCATCTTGTAGATAGTACACACTGCTGCTACTGTGCCTCCTGGAGGGATTGAATCTTTGTGGATGCAGTTTCAAGCAAATAGGTTGCTTTGTTCTGGATCATGTAAGCTTCTTGGGTGCTGTTGGAGCTGCACTCATTCAGCCAGTTGAGGAGTTTTCTATCACTTGTGCCTTATAGATGGTGGACCTGCTTTGGGAATCAGGTGATAGTAACCACTGCAAGATTCGTACCCTCCGACCTCTTCTTGTAGGCACAATATTATGATGTCCAGTTTCTGGTCAATGGTAACCACTGGGATGTTGATGGGGGTGTGCCATTTCAGTGATTATAATGCCATAGAATGTCAAAGGGTGACGGTTAGAGTCTCCCTTTTAGAGACGGTCATTGCCTGGCATTTGTGTGATACTTGCAGATGATACAAAACTTGGAAGCATTACGTGAACTGGAGAGGATAGTGTTAAACTTAGTTCAATGTGGAAAAGTTTTAAGAAATTCATTTTGATTGTTTTAGTAGAAGAACATGGGGAGGCAATATATAACGAAGGAGACAATTCTGAAGTTGGTGCAGGAGCATCAGGACTGAAAGACAGGTTCTAATAGTGGTTAAGGATACAGAATCCTGGGCTCGATCCTGGCGCAAGGAAGGAAGTTACATCATGTTTTATTGGTTCAGCCTCAACTGAAGTACTGTGCCAAGTTTGACAGGCAATAAATGCTGGCCAGCCAGCGAGGCCTACATCCCACAAGTGAATTAAAAAAAATTCTGGCATTGCATTTTAGAAATGATGTGATAGCATTCTAGAGGGTGCAGGAAGGATTTACAAAAGTGGGTCCAAGGATGGACTTCAGTTATGAGGACGGATTGAAGTTGGGGCCGAGAAGATTGAGAGGAGATTTCACACAAGTACTTAAAACCATGATTGGACTGAACAAAGTAGCTATGGTGAAACTGTTTGCATTGATGAAAGGATGAGGAGCAGGGGGGTCAAAGACTCAAGTCAATTAGCAAAAGAAGCAATGGTGACAATAAGGAGAAACTTTCACACAGCAAGTGGTTAGGATCTGAAATACACTGCCTGATTGTGTGGTGGAGGTAGGGCCAATTGAGGCTTTGAAAGGGAATTTGAATATTATCTGAAGGATGGGAGAACTTGCAGGGGGTTACAGATAGAACAGGGCACTAGGACAGCTGGTCCTTCCAACAGCCATTACAGGCATGATGGGGTGAACAGCCTTTTACTGTGCTGTAATCAAAATACAATTCTATGAAGCAAATGCTGATTTTTAAAATATAATTTAAACTAGCTACCTCCCACCTCACCCTTACAAGTCTACAATTCTATTTCTTTCTCTCTGTTGTATGTATTCCACTAACTTCGCTTCACTGCATTTCTGTTATTTATCTCAATTTCTCCAACTGGGGGGTGAGTTCCAGATTCCAGTTGCCTTCTGAATTATGAAGTTTCTCCTGAATTCATTAGTGACTACCTTATATTCATGAATCACAAGGTATACCAGAGACCTGAAATGCAGAAGCACAGAGATCCAAGGGCTGCCGTATCGAGGAGGTTAGTTACAAAGGGTAGGTTGAGACAATGGATAGATTTTTTCAGTTTGTGGCTCCTGCTTCAGCACTGCCTATTTAGGACACGGTTGAGGGGTGAATGAGACAACCTAGCAATCTATTCCTTCCAGTGATAAGGTCACTTACTTTCCTCTGGATCTTCAACTGCCACTGGAGGGCCTGGCAGAGCCTGCACTGCTGCCCGACTCTCCTGGGTCGATTCCATAGGACCCAACCTGGCATTTCTGCTGTTTGTCCATTCCTGAGTGAATCCCCCATCATCTGCCTGGGTCGAGCCTGGATCAGCATAAGTCTCATTAAGGGTAAGACCTGCAGAGGTTAACAGCAGAGAAGATGCATTACTTCCACAGCCCAAAGATGTGCAAGTTAGATGGATTGGCTATGCTAAATTGCCCCATAGTGTTCAGGGATGAGTAGGTTAGATGCATTAGCCATGAGAAATATTGGACGGGGGGATAGGTCTGTGTGTGATGCCCTTCAAGTCGGTGTGGCCTGTTTCCACACCGTAGGGACTCCATGACTCTATAAATCTAATGCAAGCATTTCCTGTCACCACCAAGTCAAATTACAAGATCCGAATGTACTTGGGTACAAACTTTCAACAGTCAAAGACCCAAAACCAGCTCAAGTCTCAGGTTTCTGAAGAAGGGTCTAGGCTCGAAATGTCAGCGTTCCTGCTCCTCTGATGCTGCTTGGCCTGCTGTGTTCATCCAGCTCTACACCTTGGTATCTCAAGTCTCAGGTTAACAGACACTGCAAAAAGCATTGAAAAGCAGAGCAGCAGACAGTAACAGTTTCCAGTCAATGATTCAACTTGGTGTAGTCTGCAACGGACGACCTACAGTGGGGTAAGCAGATCCAAGACTAATTGTTAAGAGCTAAACACTGAGAAAGAACAAAGTTTACAGGGCTCTGGGGAAACAGCAGTAGAGTGGGACTAATTGAATACTGCTTTCAAAGCAGAGGCAGGCAAGGTGCTGTACCATCTCATGATTCTACTTCCTGTACTGCTAGTCCAATATGGCCACATATACTATCCTGGAAAATAAAATTGCTCTGAGTAGAACATTAAGCTGCAAACAATGAAGGAAAATCACTTGGGAAATTCCTCTCTAACTTAAGAGTAAATATTGAGAAAACTGTGACTCAGAACCATTGAAATGAGCTTCAATTACATCCTCATCAATCGTGCATTACTTGACAGAAAACAGCAGTGACCCTTGACCTCTAAAATATCAACCAAAAGCTCTAGAATTAACACTGTTCTGGCCCTTAACCATTGTCACTGGGTTCAAGGGCAAAAAGGATTCAAGACTCCAGATTAGAGTAGCCTGGTAACACAACTTCAACACATTGGATCAATGGACAAGGACAAACGGTAAAGTTTATGTTCACAATTTACCCAACACCCCAATACTCACTGGCCTAAACCAGCTCTTAATCTAGCAAAAGTTCAGACTTCAAAATCTCACCATTTACCAATCCCTCTGAGGTCTGTGTAACCTTCCTCTTCGGGCTATCTGTCTCCTCTCATGAGGGTATCTGAATTAGAAGTCACAGATTTAAAGTGAGGAATTTCTTCTCTGAGGGTCATTAGTCTTCATAGTTTACCAGCCCACTGAGTCAGAAAGATTTTTGATCTACAAAGGAGCCAAAGGCTAAGCGGCCAGGTAGGAAAGTAGAGTTAACACCACAATCAAACCAGTTGTGTACTTATTGGACGTAGAGCAGGTTCGAGTATGCTCTTAAACAAGAGAGATCCTGTGATCAGTTCCAGTTTGGTTGTCTGCTTTTAGGATGAACAGACTTGTTCAGCTATTTTTGAATGTAGCGGTGTCATTCTTTTCTGATTACCGAGGTCTGCATCTATGCATGAATAGTATAGCAGATGCAGAGAAATGTACAGACAACACATTTGATCTGTTTATCCCACATTTCATTCAGCCTTCAACTCTTCTCAGAGAAGCTTTGTTCATTGTGACAAATAAGTCAATCTTGGCCCTTATCTGTGACATGTCTGTGCTAGGTATTAAGGAATTTCTTCTCTATTTACCATTCTCTGCATATAAAGTTTTACGGGAAAAAAAGACAACATTCATATTCTTTCCCCTCTACATTGGTATTTCGTGCAAATGTTCTGATGAGTGCAAGACCAAAAGTTTTGACAGGATGTGTCTTTTTGCAGCAATACTCGAGTTCTGTGCGACCAAATGACATGGTTCCAAACTGGACGAGAAGTGGCAGTGAATTAAACAGAATTCTGAAGAACCATATGAGGCTCAAAGTATAACTGTTTCTCTCTCCACAAATATTGCCAGACCTGCTGAAGTTCTCCAGCATTCTGTTTGTTTCCAAACTGTTGTTGCTCATGCACCAAGATGCACTTTAATCTCCCCTTTGCTCTGCACTCACATTCACGATAAACAGACTCAACTAAAGATGCTGCAATATGCTGACCATTTAAACCACTAAAATATTCTAACAAAACACTACTTCAAGTAAAACTAGAACAGATCCACAGGTTCAAACTGGTGAACAGCAAATTTAAGATAGGAGGAAGCAGCGAAGATTTCTTGGTAGAATAGTGGAAATGTAACTCAAACTGTTTAAGAATTACTGATGCACAGAGAGATCTGGGTGTTCAGGTCCATTGTACCCTGAAGGTGGCAACGCAGGTTGATAGAGTGGTCAAGAAGGCATACGGCATGCTTTCATTCATCGGATGGGCTATTGAGTACAAGAGTTGGCAGGTCATGTTACAGTTGTATAGGACTTTGGTTCGACCACATTTGGAATACTGCGTACAGTTCTGATCGCCACATTACCAAAAGGATGTGGATGCTTTGGAGAGGGTGCAGAGGAGGTTCACCAGGATGTTACCTGGTATGGAGGGCGCTAGCTATGAAGAGAGGTTGAGTAAATTAGAAAGACAGAGGTTGAGGGGCGACCTGATTGAGGTCTACAAAATGATGAGAGGTATAGACAGGGTGGATAACAAGAAGCTTTTTCCCCAGAGTGGGAGACTCAGTTACTAGGGGTCACGATTTCAAGGTGAGAGGGGAAAAGTTTAAGGGAGATATGCGTGGAAAGTTCTTTACGCAGAGGGTGGTGGGTGCCTGGAACGCATTGCTAGCAGAGGTGGTAGAGGTGGGCACGATAGCGTCATTTAATATGTATCTCGACAGATACATGAATGGGCAGGGAGCAGAGGGATACAGATCCTTGGAAAATAGGCGACAGGTTTAGATAGAGGATCTGGATCGGCGCAGGCTTGGAGGGCTGAAGGGCCTGTTCCTGCGCTGTAATTTTCTTTGTTCTTTGTTCTACTGGATGCAGTGATTGAATGAGCTAATGCAGACAGACTTTCTGAAGCTGTATCTATGCTCTTGAAATATAGGACATTGGTTTACATTTAAAAATGAAAGACAATAACAGACAAAAGTTGCAAGTGAGAAAAGCATAATTTTTTCCTCATTTAAGTATTGCCTTTAAATTAGCAATTTTCTAAACTCTAACAACTTTTTCTTGAAAACAATATCTTAGTTTATCGTTTGTTGCAAAAGATGAAGTAAAATCTCTCTGCTTTTGAGGGAGCTCTTTTGCACACTGTAATTGAAGGAAACAATATTATAGAAACAATGCTCAGAAATCAAATGCAACACTGACAGGTGCAGAATTGGAGACAATATCACAGTGGCTTTACTACACAACATTTACAGTGACTTCGATGAATGTTTTCTATCAGGTTTAGCTAGAACAAATTGCTGCACTCACCAGGTGGTGGCAAACCAGAATCTTTTGGAGGGTCCGGCCTGGCTTCTGGATCAGTATCTGCCATGTTAACTAACCATACCATTGTTGCTGTGCGAAAAAATCAAACAGGAGAGTTAACTCTGTGCACTGATATTTTCAGGTTAAGAAATAAAATGACAAACCCTTCCCCCGAACTTACAGGAATAGATCAGAGCTGGGAATATTGGTTCATTTCTCTCTTGTGCAGTCTCGACGAGAATGCGCAAGGGACCCTTGGGGCACAACACTGCGACCAGATCTGGAAAAAACACATTTGCTCAATATAAACTTCATATCATGGCTTGATAGAAAAGTTGGAAATGTAAAACTTAATCAAAATAATTGTCACATTCTAAAATTCAATCTTCTAATTGCTAGACGTCATGGATCTTAAGGTTCAAGTCCATAGCTCCCTGAAAGTGGCCACGTAAGTAGATAGGGTGGAATGGGGTCATCTGGCATGCTTGCCTTTATTGGTTGGGGAATGGAGTACAAGAGTCAGGATGTCATGTTGCAGCTTTATAAGACTTTGGTATTCCGGTTGCCACATTAGAGGCTCAGTGGTTATCACTGCTGCCTCACTGCGCCAGGGACCGGGGTTCGATTCCACCCTTGGGCGACTGTCTGTGTGGAGTCTGTATGTTCTCCCTGCGTCTGCGTGGGCTTCCGCCGGGTGCTCCGGTTTCCTCCCACAGTCTGAAGATGTGCGGGTTAGGTGGATTGGCCATGCTAATTTGCTTGTAGTGTCCAGGGGTGTGTAAATTAGGTGGATTAGCCATGGGAAATGCAGGGTTACAGGGATAGGGTACGGTAGGGGGATGGGTCTGGGTGGCATGCTCTTTGGAGGGGTGGTGTGGACTTGTTGGGCCGAATGGCCTGTTTCCACACTGTAGGGATTCTGTGATTACAGGAAGGATATGAGGCTTTGGAGAGGGTGCAGAAGAGGTTTACCAGGATGCTGCCTGGATTGGAGGGTATGAGCTATAAGAAGAGGCTAGAAAAACTCAGGTTGTTTTCTCTGGAGTGGCGGAAACTGAGGGGGGAGACTTGATAGAAGTATTAAATTATGAGAAACATAGATACGGCTAACGGTCAGAATCTTTTTCCCAGAGTTGAAATGTCTAATACTAGGGGGCATTCATTTAAGGTGAGAGAGGACAAGTTCAAAGGAGATATGAGGGGCAAACTTTTTTACACAGAGAATGGTAGGAGTTTGGAACTCGCTGCCAGGCGTGGTGGTGGAGGCAGATACGATAGGGGCATTTATGGGACTTTTTGATAAACACGTGAATGTGCAAGGAATGGAGGGATATGGACCAAGGGCAGGCAGGAAGATTAGTTTAATTTGGCGCAATATTGTGGGTCAAAGCAACCGTTCCTGTGCTGTACAGTTCTATGTTCTATGCTCCAAGTGTATATCTCTACCATCTCAAACCCTTTCATTATCTCCCATGGCCTCAAGGTACTGGACCGTTCTGTGGCTCAGAGAAAGAGAAATGCTTCAGTCTTTCATCCTTTCCTGATGGATAGAGTTATTCAGTTAGAACAAAGAACAATACAGCACAGGAACAGGTCCTTTGGTCCTTCTAGTCTGCGCCGACATATTTTGCCTTTCTATACTTAAACAGTCTGGCACACTCCATGTAAATCTTGTTTTGACCTTTTCCAGTGCTTCCATATTTTTATAATATGGAGTCCAGAGTTTTGTACAGTATTCGAAGTCTGGTCAAGCCAGGGTTGTGTACAAGTTTAACATTTAATAATATTGTTTCTCAAAGTTCTCCTTCTAGGAATGAATACAGATATGCCTAGTGACCACACAGCTGTCTTAACATTACAGAGGTACTCAGTACAACTGACTTCTGCAGGTAAGAATGCCTCACGGCAATTGCCGAATTATGTCAAGAGCAAACTTATACACAATAAACATTTTCTGCAGTCATGGAAATCATTCCCTGGACTATATGCTATCTAATTTTAAGCTTTTTTTTTTAAACTTATGGTTACATATAACCCTTAATTGTAACTTGCTGGATAAATGTGATTCAGAATATTATGTTTATAATTACAATTTTTGCTTGTTTGTGTCATAGCTTACCTGCCTTAGACTGATACTCTAACTGACACCACCATGTACAGGAATAGACAGGCACAAACATTCATACAGCAGTTAGGGACTCAAAGCCTGATTTTTGTTTCCGGTTCTGAAAAATACATTTTACAGACTTTGCTTTTTGTTGACAACATTCAACAAGCCATTATTGAGACAGTGAACTTGCACGCATGCCCCTCATGGCGTTATTCATCACTTTTCGACAAGAGAAAATAAAGCACAGATTTAGTTAAAAACAGAATGGAGATATTAATGGATTGAGTGAACGCAATGCTTATTGTGAATTTGTCATTGAAAATGGACTTCTTCCTATTTCTGGCTATTAAGGTGGTATTCCTATGAAGCATTGGGACTCATTAACTGCAGATTAGATAGTTGCTTGAGCTGCACCCATCCAGGCAAGTGGGGAGTTTTCCACTACACTCCTGATTTGTGTCTTGTAGATGACGAACAGGCTTTGGGCAGTCAAGAGTGAGTTACTTGCAGTAGGAATCTGAACCTCTGACTTGATCTTGTAGCCACATGTGGCTAATCTAATTCAGTTTCTGGAAACAGTAACTCCCAGGATGAGGGATTCAGTGAAGGTAATGTTATTGAATGTCAAGGGGCAATGGTTAACTGCCTTTTTATTGGATATGATCATTCCTGGTATTTGAATAGGTTGGTCAGATGGGCAGACCAATGGCAGATGGAATTTAACCCTGATTAAGTGTGAAGTAATGTACTTTGGAAGAAGTTACAGACAAGGGAGTCTTCAATGGGAATCTCAGAGGAACAGAACGATCTTGGGGTGCTTGTCTACAGATCCATAAAGATAGCAGGGAAGGTCAACAGGGTAGTTAAGATAGCATAAAGGACACTTGCCTTTATCAGTCAAGAAATAGATTGTAATAAAAGGGAGGTTATAGGGGAGCTGTACAGGATTTTAATTAGGCCACAGCTGGAGTACTGTTTATACTCTGGTTACCAGACAATAGGAACAATGTGATTTCATTGGAGAGGGTGCAGAGGGCAGTCACTAGGATGTTGCCTGGGATGGAGCATTTTAGTTGTGAAGAGAGGCGTGATAAACTTGGGTTGTTTTCTTTGGAGCAGATAAAGCTGAGGGGGGACCTTGGTAGAGGTATAAATGATTATGAGGTCAAGAACAAAGGAGTATAATTTGAAGGTGAATGGCAGATGGTTTAGAGGGGATCTGAGAAAAAATATTTTCATTCAGAGGGTGGAGGTGGTCTGGAATCAGTGCCAGGGTTGGTAGTTGAGGTGGGAAATCATGCTTGACAAATCTTCTGAAATTCTTCAAGAATGTCACTAATAGAGTTGATAAAGGGGTGGGGCCGTAGATGTGATTTACTTGGACTTCAGATGGTTTTCGATAAGGTCCTACAACACAGACTAGCATGTGAAATTAAAGCACATGAGATTGGGGTCGTGTACTGACACGGATAGAGAAGTAATGGGTAAACAAACAGAGCTGGAATAAATGGGCCTTTTCCAAGTGGCAGGCAGTGACTTGGGTCCCACAGGGATCAGTGCTTGGACCCCAGCTAGTCACAAAACATAGTAATGATTTAGAGGAGGGAACTAAAAGTAATATCAGCAAGATTTGAGGTGGCATGAAATTGGTCAGCAGGTTGAGCTTTGAGAAAGGTGAAGAGATGCTTTGGTGTGAGGTTATCACTTTGGTTAACAAAAAATGAGGAAGGCAGGTTATCTGGCTAGCAATACATCTGGAAAATGGGAGGTACAATGAGACCCGAGTACCCTTGTATACCAGTTTCTGAAAGTAAGCATGTAGGTGCAGCATGTGAAGACAGCAAATTTTATGCTAGCCTTCACAGTAACAGGATTCATGTACAGAATCAGGGACATCCAACTGTAATTGTACAGAACCTTGGTGAGACCACAGCATTGTGTGCAGTTTTAGTCTCCTTCTCTGACAAAGGACGGAGGGAGTGCCACAAGGTTACCAGACCGATTCCTGGGGTAGCAGGTCTGACATATGAAGATAGACTATATTCACTACAGTTTAGAAGAATGAAGGGGAACTTCATAGAAACCTATGAAAATTTAACAGGATTAGGCAAGCCAAATGCAAGAAGTACATTCCTGATGACCAGGGAGTCCATAACTGCGGGTCACAGTCTAAGGATGTGGGGTAGACCATTTAGAACTGAGATGAGGGGAAATTTCTTCACCCAGAGAGTGGCAAGCCTGTGGAATTCATTACCACAGGAAGTGGTTGAGGCCAAAACATTGAAAGTTTTCGAGAAGGAGTTAGATTCAGTTCTTAGAACTAAAGAGATCAAAGGGTATGGGGAGAAAGTGGAAACCGGTACTGAGTTGGGTGATCAGCAATGATCATGTTAAACGGTGAAACAGGCTCAAAGGGCCGAATAGCCTACTCCTGCTCCTATTTGCTAAGTTTCTGTGAATAAAATATATACTTTAGCAACTTTAAAAGGCTCCAAGGTGCAATAGTTGCAACCCTACCTCCGAATCAGGAAGCCGGGGTTCAAGATCCACCTACTCCAGAGGTGTGTAATTATATCTCTGAATGAGTTGCTTAGAAAATATCTACACTGAGGAAGTGAAGATGACTGACCTCCAACAACCACAATTTTCATTTGTGCCAGCTATGACTCCAACCATCAGAGTGTTCCCTAATTCCCAGTATTGCTGTTTAACGCTACGCTCTGTCAAATGCTGCCATAATGTCATACAGTCACTCTTCATTGTTGGAATTCCACTGTTTCATTCACATTTGGACCAGGGGTATACTGAGGTCAGGGTCAGAGGGCTCTGGCAAGATCCAAATTGAGCACTGATGAGACAGGTATTGTTTTGGTGCACGGTGGAATCGTCTAACACTGATAATTAAGAGTAGACTGATGGGGCAGTTTAACAATAGAGCACCTTGGAGGTGACTTATCACTGAATACCTAGAGTTTTGGTATTTGTGAGAGCTTGCTGTGTGGAAATTGGCTGCTGCATTTCTCTATTTTACAATACTCCATTGATTGTTTTGGGATGCCCTGATTTTCTTTGCAGACACTGATTTGCACACACACACCCCTTACTGCAGGGACCACTAGCCCTTTCCTCCCACTCTCCTGTCCTGCACAAGGCAAGACCAAAGTAACTTGACTTGATTTTGCAAGTAGTAATTAAAAAGGTGCTCACAG